ATCTTCACGACAACGCATTCATACCCCAAAATTCAAAACCCAGACTACGCTAACTATCAATACCAACACATAAGTACACTTGGAAGATTTACCTTTATATGGGGTGGTCATTTCCTACTCTCAAAAAGATAGAACTCTACACAAAATCATGGTCATCGTATGCTGGCGATAGTAAAGCTCGTATGAATCATAGTACCAAGTCTATTGTCTGTCTCATAGAATTCGGACAGTGTGGCCCTTTGAAATTTGTGAGCACCGCAAATCTTTCTTTATATTTCGTAGTCATTTCGTGGCGCTCGAAATGCTCTATTTGCATTAAAAAAAGTAGTCATGCTATCAAGAGCGATAGTCCAGATCGTATGAACCACACTATCCCATCCATCGGCTTTCCCATGGGATCCAGACAGTGTCGTCTTTGGAAAATCCCGAGCACAGCAAATTTTCCTTTACATTCTGTGGAGATAGAGCTCTCTAAAAGCTCTATCTCCACAGAAAAAATGAGGATGGTATCAGGAACGATAGTCGAAATCATATGGACCATACTATGCCAGCAAGGGGTTTTTCCATAGAATCCGCATAGTGTGGTCCTTGGAAATTTCCGAGCGCAGAGAATTTTCCTTCACATTCTGTGATCATTTTTCAGCTCTTCAAAAGCTATATCTTCCATGAAAGTATGAGTTTCATGCAACGAAGAGCCGCGGTGAACCTGTGAGCCTGATAAGAAAATCGATAGTACTAATGTCCTAGTTAGAAATATCGAGTAGAGGTCTCAAAGAATGTTCTGAAAGGATTCGGGATGTTTCACTATTATATAGAAGAAAATAAAATTCAATTGTAGAAAGTGTTCTGAAGTGATTTTCATTTAGGGCCGTTTTACATGCAAATCGTCTCCCGTCCTTTCTTTCTCAGGGTTTTATAAAAGCTTTCCAAAGGACGCGGGAAAGTTCGTACACAAATCGGTCCTACATGAAAATCTTTTCAGAGAGCAGTTTAAACTTGTCAATTATGCTTCTTCCTTCATTGCGAAATCGCAAGAATTTTCCAGGGTGCCTTTGTATTATGTCCCATATTTTTCCTAATCTTTAATTAAAAGGGTTTTCCAGAAAACCTATGCAACTGTCAGAGTTTTCACAAGGGTTATGAACAGAGGTACAGAATCTACCGTTAAAATGAAAACTTCCCTGATTCGAAGAAAAATTCTCTTGAAAATTTCACCGGTGTTGCAATAAAAGGAATTTGTTAAACACATTTATTTAAAGAAATGAGGAAACTGGCAAGTTAATTATGCACAACAAACGCTATATAATAAGAAAAATCAGTTTCATCACTTATCGAGTAATTCTGGTAGTCGTGGAACTTGTTCATTTCGAAAACATTTTAGCAGCATTGAACCTGGATAAACAAGTTTCCAAATCTGATATTGTCTAGGTTTCGTATGAAAGAATGAGAAATAAAAATAAAAAGCTGTTATGATCTGAATTAACTACATTAGATGATAAATCTATTGGGAACAGCATTAATATTAATGAGTACATAATTAAATACCTGCCACGAAACACATCAGCATTTTATCAAAATTCAAGAGTTTAGTTATTTTGATCTTTCAATCAGTATTCTCACCAGCGTCAGGAAATCATAACAATAATAGACAGAACTCTTCCATATATGTCAATATATATATATATATATATAAAATAAAAGAAAAACAATAGAAGATAGAACCTTAATTAATTAATGTATATGTAATTGGATAAGTGTTTACATATTTGCACATATTCGAAAATATATTTATCCAAAGTACATTTATCTGTTACTTAAAGTCTATTTATTCTTTCTTTTATCTTTTTTGTTTTATCTTATACTCAGGGTGGCCCAAGAGTCACTCACCCGAAAAAAAATTGAATATTTTTATTACGGCTCGATCAAACGGTGCCATTTTTTTACCAAGGATAGAAGCATGTTCACACTTTAAATCCATAGGAATAAGGTTAGTACGAACCTTTGTTAACTATATTGTTTCTTTTTTCTATCTGCGAAAAAGTAAAGTTTTCTTGTTGAGGTCAATAGTAATATTTAAGAAAAGTTTTCACTAATCTTATCCCTATGAATTTGGAGTGTGGATATGTCTCTATCCTTGGTAAAAAGGGGCGCCGTTTGACCATGCCGCAATGGAGATATTCAATTTTTTCCGGTGCGTGACTTTCGGACCACCCTGTATATGTCTGTAAGAACCCTATTTTTGTTATTGTTTCCTCGACAATGGTAAGAATATTCACCGAAAGCTCAAAATAAAAAAATCCTTAAATTTCAATAAAATTGTAATATACTTAGTATCAGTTACGTACTCAGTTATGTTCTCATTAGGTAATCTTTGGTGTTTGATATATCTTCCCTTCCTTTTACTCTTTTCTTTCTTCTTTCTTCTATAAGATCTTTTCTTGTGACTATATAAATGGGTGTTTTCTATTGTTTGTGTCAGTTAAAAAAGAAAAACAAAAAAACAGAGAAAACGTTTGGCTTTCACAGTTACACAAGCAAACTGAAATGAGCATATAGTGCACACATTAAGAAGGCCTAATAAAGTGAAACAAATTGTGATATAACGCATATGCATATAAAAGAAACATTTACTGAATGACAACGGAAACGAAAAAAAAGTTGTACTTTTCTCTATTAGCAAACAAATCACATAGCTTGCTCAGAAACGTTATGCCTTAGTTTTTACAAAAGCCAAAAGTTTCCCCTATTTCCTGTGTGAAAAAAATTTCTATAATGAATAACTTCCCAAAAATTTCCCCTCACGCACGTGAGCGCACACAGGTGGATTCTGTATGTCTGATTTTGAGACTTTTAAATTGTCAAGGATAATTTTGGACTCACATCCTTGAGATTTCCGACTAAAAAGCCTAAAGACTGGATATATTCTCACAGAAATCGGGCTAGTAACATATTCGCTACGATATGAATATCGTTTTTTCATAATTCGTAAAAGACATCTTTTCCATATTTACGGCAGATGTAATACTTCAAAAAAGGATTTGTCAACGTTTCTCTTGTGAATATGAGCTATAAACATCACTTTAACAGTTGTAAAAGGATCAGGTATTTTGGTCAACATTTGGCAGAGATATTCAGTTTTTTTCTGTGCTCAAAGACCTTTCAGATCATCCTATAGTGAGACCCACCGATGGATATCATCGGATTGAATGTGTTAAAACTCCTAATTAGCAATTAATTAACTAATTAATTAATGGAGATCTTCTATTACGGCTGTTGAACTTTTTTTCTAAGGGTATTCTATTATGGGTAGGGGCGAAAGGGGGTTAGTAACCGCTCTGTGGAAGATCCCTGATCTTAAACTCTGCCCATAGCATTCCCACCGTGGTTTTTAGAACCGGAGCCATTTTATTAGGGTAAAGAAAGTTTTTTAAGAACTGTAAAATGAGACCGAGATATGCATGACAATGTATTTGCTCAGATAGAAGTCAAGGGTCGAAATAATCAGTGTCGAAGATTGTCATCAGCTGAGATATTGGCAGATAATATTGATCTAATTTGACTGATGCTTCTGGTAAGCTGTGAAAGTCATCAAATTAACCTGGGTTGTCGACGACATTATCATGAAGTTCTGTTGCGCTTTGTTAGGATTGTATTCTTCTAAAAGGAATCGTGGGTCAGTCGATTATAATATATTCCTTTGATAAGCTTGGAAAGTTATATATCACAAAATAGTTTTCTGATAGAGAAATTCTAAGTTGGTCTTCTTTGAGACATCTGCTAACCAAGAGAACGATTGAATACAATACATGGTAACAACAACTACCTTGTCATAGCACGGCTCAACTGAAAATGCTGATGCGGCTCGATTCACATCGAAGTCACTTTTAAGTCACTGATATTTCTTTCACAATAATGTGCTAGAGATCAACAACAGAGCACGATGCTTTCTGACAATAGTCTGTCATGCTGCATTCTATCAAACACTCTGGTTATATTTTAGATCTATTCAAATAGATACAATTGAAAAATATTTCCAATAATAAAATCCGGTTTCTATCACAAACATTATCTCAAATCATATATCCTTGGAACTGAAAGTTCCTAACAGAAGCTAACCTTTGCAGCTCACAGACTCCCAGCTGCTGCCAGAATACCAGTGTATCAGTTGCAATACCACTAGACCTGTAAGCTGTCATACACTCGGATGAATCCCTGTTTGATCAACTGAGTATTCGGAGTGGTTCAATAGCTCTCAGTAAACTGCTTCGAGAAACCTCAAACACGCTTTTTGCCACTGTGGCTCGTGCATTCTTTCACTCAGTACAGAACTTCTGATTGGTCACGCCTTCATCTTTAGTATGTCTAGTCTAACTGCTTGTAGGAACACCGTCTCCGAAAATATTTCCAAACACAATATCTTCATCCACATTTTGGCATTACTTTTAGGCTGGTAAAATATTCTCATTCCTGTGAAAAACGGCTTTAATATTAATAGCCATTTTATAAGCCCTATTGATAAAGCTGCTAGGTCACTGATCTTCTCCATGAGATGGTACCAGTATTGTCTTCAGAAAATATCCGGCGCACCATATTTTCCTCTATACTTTTGCACAATTTCGCAGATCTTAAAAAGCTGTCTCTACCATGAAAATATATCACATTTTTACATGGATAGCCGTGATGATCATAAGCACTATGTCGGACTATCATGGATTCAAATCTGTCCTCGAAGGGTCCCCACACTATTTGAGGATGTGGGTGTGAATATACTGTTGACAGAAGAACAGGTAAATATCCATACCCAAAACCAATGAGCGAAAGAAAAACCAACAAGGGTCCCAACAGAGACCAATGTACAACTATGAATTCCACGTAGAATCACAGTTACAAATAAGTACTCTTATAATCAAACAATGATAGAGCACAAGCTAAATATGTTTATCAGAGTCTGTAACAAAGGTAACAGGAAGGTGAATTATCGTTTGTACACAATACTTTTCATGAATCGTTACCAATCTCATGCTTTGCAATCAAAAGAGCTGATGAGATTTTTTTTAAATTCGAATTTAGGACGCGTATTAAAAGTCTATCGAGGGCAGCAAATAACGGCTGGAGAGTACGCTGAATGGAAACGAAACCGAGGTAATCTGGTGTCAATCAATTCGTTTGTTTCGACAACCGAAGATCGACAAGTAGCATCGATATTTTCTGGATCAGGTCAATTAAGACCCGAACAAGAATCAGTTATATTTGAGGTTTCGATCGATACATCACTCAGCGATTGTGTACCTTCATTCGCTAATGTATCTCATTTAAGCGCCGTTGCCGACGAAGGAGAAATTTTACTAGCCATGGGTGCTGTTTATCGTATCGAATCTTTTGATGAAGTCGAAGATGGAGTTACTCTTATTCGTTTGTCAATGTGCACACGAGATGATGAACAATTCGCTCAGTTCAAGAAAGTCATTCTCAATATTCAACCTTTAGTGTCATTCGAGATGATTGATTGCCGACACGAATCGGGAGCGATGCTCGCATTGGCATATCTCCTTCTGAAAATGGGTGAGCGACGTAAAGCAATTGTAATGTACGATATGGCTAAAGCTCGATTCGTTAGAGAGCAACGGGTTGATCCTATCTTCGAATATTTGTGTAAAGTTATCAAAGTACATTTTGATAGCTTGAAAGCTTTGCTAAGTGGAAATGGTGCATTAGACTTTATACGGCATAGTGCCTCTGACGAAAATCGGAAAATCACAGCTACTATTGCTCCCGATCTGGTGAACCTTATAACAGAAATAGCATCATTCGACTCTCTTGATGAAGTCGATCCCAGCAACTTTCAGAAACGGCTCTACCATGCAGTACAACCATTGTCTAGTATTATAAATCCTGAAATTTTGCTTCAAAGTATGGGTTTTACTAACTCTAATAATGGAAGAAACCAGAATCTATCAAATCCTCAAACGATAACACAAAATGAGTTACGACATCTCTTAGGCAGCAATCATTTCAGTGAGCGAGAATCATTATTACAGAAAGCACAAGAAGCCGAACAATGTGGTAATACCGACCTGGCTCTTGACTTTTACTTACAATGCTCGAATCAACCAGACGGCTCAAATGTAACAGACTTGCTCCAAAATGTAACAGCCAATGTCAATATTGTTAAAATTTTTCTACAACAAGGTGAGCTCGAAATCGCGTTGCAGTTCGCTACGAACGTATTAAATATGCATGAACTTCCACCAAAATCGAGTTATGTTATCATTGTGCACAAAATGTGTGTTTATATATACATCATGAAACGAGATTGGACAAAAGCAAGAGAGAGCCAAGAGCAGGTTGTAGATTTTCTAGAAACTGAGCGCATCACAACAGGTTCTACTAGTCTCGATCTCGCATCCGAAACGAACATGTTACACAATCTACGAACAGGAAGCTATCAAGTTTTAGAAGCCATAGCAAAGAGTGTCAAACAAAACTTACTCACAGAACTCAAAATAGTATTTCACGTAAATCAATAGATTCCCATGTTTGTATTTCACTCTCGTTGATATCAATCCAGGTTGACACTTATGAAAAAGCTTCTCAACGCAGCTTCTTTAAAGCTGAAATATGGGACTCACGTGTATGCTTCAAACTTATTATCCTAATCCATCATTTGTCAACTGCAAAATAGTTTTTTTTTCAAATAATCATGAAAGCATTGAAATTTTGTACAGAATCTGAAGTCTTTTATGCTCGATTGTTGAGGTATCTAATAGTGGACCTGTCTGTAATGGTGGTTGTGGGTGCGTGAGCGTTAATATAAGTGTGGGTGAGAGTGAATTTCGTTCATACGCCCACACTCACCCTCGCACTGTTTCTAATTTTGATTTTAAAGTTGTACAAATCCTCAACAGACGGAAACTGGAACAAATAGATGTGCGCTTCAGGGGTGTGGGTGTTGGTGTGTTAGTAGAAATGATTTTAAATATAAAATCAAATCAAAAGCTAGCGAGACACGTGTTTCGACTACTGCTAAAGTAGTCATTTATCAATTGCTTAAGATTAGATGGAAAAGTAATTTTTCTCCTACTATGTACAACTATAGTCGAGAGTTACTAGGAACTTTCAAAGCTAATAGAAGACATAATATTCAAGCGTTAGAAAGTTATAAAATTAAACTTCCAACAAGTTTGAATAAGAGATTCTCAACATATGTGGTGTGTTAGTAGATATGATTTTAAATATAAAATCAAGTCAATGAAAATAGCTAGCCTATTGTTGATTGAGTTGGCATGACGATTTCGGTATCTAGTATTTCTTGAATAGTAGAATCACTTTTGTTACTTCCATCTGATGGTTGGAATGGAGTAACATAATCTTGAATATGGTAGTTATTGGTCCTTAGTATGTATGAAAGAAACTATAGACCCCTTTTGAGATTCGTATTGTTTTTATTCATGTTTATTATTTACTTACAACGATGTATTAGGGTGTGGGTGGGTGTGGGTGTGGGTGTGGTTGTGAAAAAAGAGAGAAACAATACCCACATCATCAACGCCCACACCCATACTCACACCTACACCCACACCCACACCCACACCCACACCCACACCCCACACCCCACACCCACACCCACACCCACACCCACACCCTTCTTTTTAACAGTGACAATCGCAACTCTTGATAGTGATTCTATCAAAATTTATTCAAAAAATATCCATTCGCCTTTTAATTGGAAATGAGGAGTAATTAAATGGACAAGGTTCTAAATGAACTTTTAAGAAGATTTTTCAAAGTGAAATTAAATTTTTGACACTCTTATCATATAAATGTTAGAGAACAATAAAAAAAAATTATTTAGAGAAAGAAAAAAAACAATTAAAGTTCTTAAATAAAAAGATGATAAACGGAAAATACGATTAATTTCCAATTCTTGACAATCAATTCCATACGTGACACATCAATTCAATATCAATAGTCATGTTTTATCATCTAAAGATAAAATTATATAATCAATTTGTTTTATTTTAAATAACAAATTATGATAATAAATACGAGCAATTATTTTTAGTTTTTGATTATTTGTCTTGAATAAAAACAATTGTTTATTAATTAGTTTGATTAATATTTTTGATAAAAATAAATCTAATAATAGAACTTCAAATTCAGATAAATAATCAAAATTTTTTCAATCCGATCTTTCTCTTAAACGATAACGATCAATTAATAAACCAGTACCAATTATCGTTCTTTTATTCTTATTCTGTCGCATATTATCATTTGATTTTTTGCTAATTGAAGAAGATAGGTTTGTTTTTGTGGAATAGTGGTAAAAAAAAGAGAATTATATTAGCAGAATATTTATTTGATTCATCTAAAGTCTATTGATTGCTCATTGATGATGATAAACTCTACAATTGAAAGATAATACTGTCAACTAGTCAATATTCTATTTAAAAGTAATATATTATCAAATGATTGTAATCAAATAAATTTTATGTCAAGCTAAAATAAAAATAATTGTTTGCTTTTTAAAATAGTTTGCGTGTTGAGATGTTACCTAAAAGCAGATCCAGTATATTGCTATTGTTCAATGACCTCTCTTCCTTCAGAGAAGGTTCATTTCTGTGATTAATAGTTTGTTTAATAGATCAAAATGTCTATTATTCGAATAGAATACAGTTGATTATATTTTCAATAAGGTTTGAGGAGATTCCATAAATATTTCTCAGCCTCCATATTGAAAAAAAGTTTTAAAATTTTGACAAATCAAGGCTAACTCGTTACAAAGCTAGATTTTTTAATTTATTTTTTGCTCAAATAAAAACCGTAGATCTTACATTGTGATCAGTGTTTTTGTTTTGGTCATGAATTCAAAAATTTTCATAAGACAAAGGAATGAAAATTTAAAAATCGTTCTCTATTAAAGCCTAGCTTTAAAGGCGATCTATAACCTAAAATCTATTCAAGCATGTTAACTTGCATCGTTTATTATGAAATTATTGTTCGCATACAAGATATTTCTGATTAATAAATCGACTAACTTGCAGATTTGAGAAAGTATTTTACCGATAATCTATTCTAGCTAAGACTAACATTCTCTAAAATTTTAATTGGGTGTGAGATGGGTGTGGGTGTGCGGATGTGGGTGTAAAGAAAGAAAAGAACCATCCACACCCACACCCACCCCACACCCTCGTATGTCGAAGCACATTTAGGGTGAGTATGGAAGTGGGATGGGCGTGTGTGTTTGGTGTGGGTGTTTGGGCGTAGGATGAATGTAGTTGTGGGTGAGTATGGGTGGATGTGTGTGAGTGAATGTGGGTGCATGGATTCGTAGGCGTCTCGGTGTTTATAACTCCACCGCAATGCCAACATACCCACACCCACACTCACACCCTTCATGTATATTTATTAATACACAAATACTTAGGTCTGACCAAAAGTTGCCATATTGTTAAAAAATAGTATAAAGATTTGGAGATATTTTTAATTTTATTTTATCATATGTTGAGGATAGTTGTCATTATTAGCTATACCAAGTTCAATTCTTTCTAACAGTTNAATAAAATTTAGAAAACAAAAGCCCAAATATCTATAATCAATTAATTTGTCTTTGTTTAATAGACATTTCTAATTGAAATTGTTCACATAATTTTCTTGTTTCTTGTGTTAATGGATGATATTCTCCCATAGATATTTGTACACGTTCATAAGTATTTTTCATAGTTGATTCAAGAATTAAATTCGATATAGTTCAGCACATCCGTTTATTAGAAAATAGAATAATCAATCGATTAGAGGAAAGTATAATAAAAAAAAAAAAAAAAAACTTTCGAAATCTGAACATCAATAAAAATTGCGTTATTTTTTTTTTTTTTCATTTGGTATAAATTATTCGAAACTAAATTCACTAAAAATATAATAGAGAACATATGCATGCATTGCTTTTTAATTCAATTCTAAAGAAAAAGGACAACGTCTTTGTTCATTATTATTTGTATTCATGCCCATATGTTAAGCAATATTGAAAAACCAACCATTTTTCATTGAGTATGTCCTTCGAGAATATGATTAACTTGATCTGAATTGATAAATCTACTGATTAATCAAAAAAACGAAACAATTAAAAATTGACTTTTGAATTAATTTGAGTCATTAATGAAATTCTATTGTAATTATTTGTCAAAGTATATTATTTATTTATTCTATACATATATATTATATTAATTCAGCTTCAGTTTTATTCGTGAACATTATTAAGATGTAAAGTACATTGATAATATACATAAAATGAATAGTTTTTTTATGATCTGTATTAACCATAGTACAGATTAATGTTTTTTGTATTAGACTAAAGGAACTCACATGATGTTTTTCGAAGAAAAGTATAGTGAGTGTATGTTTTCAATCAAGGCTTTATGACTCTCATTGTCTCATAACAACGGGGGTTAAAGGTCAGCCACTAATTAATGAGCAATGTTTTCCCTATCAAAGGAGACAAGTCAGCTGTCGTTAGGTGCATTTCCATAGCACACGAAGGCTTTCTCTCCTTCCTGGAGTTCTCTAGCAATAGAAAATGGCGCTTAGTGACATTAACAAGAAGATTTAGACAAAGTCTTTCGTGGAATTTCAATGACTGTAATAGCTTTGTGAATGTTCTAAATAGTGAAATTGTTGATTTTTGCGGAGAAGAAAACTTTTTCGTTCTTCATGTATTTTATATTAGTATAATGAAGGGTAAAGAATACATGTCAGTTTCACATTTTAGCTGCAAACGGACTGTACTGACAAGCCTTTCGGTAACAAAAAAAAAGACTATTAGATTTAAACTTGATCTTTGATTAATTGGTTTGGATTTAATACATTAGATTACAGTAATACAATAGTTGATATTAATGCTATTAGTCTTTTAATATATTCATTTTGTTGATAAAAGTCTGTGAGATAGAAAATATTTAATTCATGGTCAGAGTAACAGCTTTAACAGCTGTATCTACAGTAGAAGAAGGTCTTTTTTTTTTCTGTTGCTTTGTCAAGCAACAAATCATCTCGTTAATATAGATTTAATAGATAATCAAGTAGCAATCAATAATAATATACAACAATCAATCGTTAGAGTAAATTTTTTAGTTTGATATTGCTTTTTTGTCTTTCGAGAAAATACCTTTAAGTGTCAAATGCTGATAAAATCGATGCTTTACGGATAAGGAAGATCCAGTGTAAAACACATTCGAGTTACTAGGCTTTTCTTTCAGATTTAGAAGTGTTTTATTAAGATTTTGACCTTTAGTAAGTTATTTCAACCTTTAATTTCATTTATAATAAGATTTTATTAGCTTCAGAATGTCCTGAAAAATTCAATCGAAATAGAAGCTTCTTTCTTGAGATATTAATCTTTGGATGGCGAAATCAAAATATAGTAGAACAAACCTTTTCCATATTTGTTGTGTTCTGACTTCTTAGATGTCACTAGTAACAACATTGCGTTTTTTAATTAAGTCTGAATGCAAGAATTCAAATCGCCAATAATTTT